TATTCATATTTGACCTCCCCACCCCATTAGCTGCATATTCCTTATACCTGCATTCCAGCATGAAAGATCATTTGAAACTAAGTGGTCAGCAATGTTTGCGGTTTCCTGACACGACAAAACCATATTGTTTGTTATATAGTTATGCTCTGTGGCATTTTTATTTGTTGGCGTAACCGAGTAAGCGGGTGACCGACCAAAACACAGGCGTCCATTTTACTTAGCCCAAAAAAGTATGCTACAAAAGCATGCTTAAAATGTTTTACTGTCGGTCAGTGATACGCAGGCAGCATATACATAGATGTGTGTATGAATGTGTGTGTATTTGTATATGTGTGAGTGCCAATGTGTATGGGCGTTGGCTGTTTCTGGCATATGTTAAAGTCAAATATGTTGCCTGTGGCTGTCACCAATACACGTACTCGTACATATGTATGCATAGATACAAGTTTTAGACGTAAATGTTGCTGGTGGTGTGTGTTTGTGTGTGTTTTCTTATTAACTATGCCTCTATCGTCAGTTACAGCTGTCAAACGCACACATAGACACACTCAGCCTGAGTCTGTGTCTGAGCTTGGTGCCATGTTAATCAACTCGATTATAAGTAGTGACAAGTTTTAACTGCATTTACTTGTAAAAGTGCCAGACACAGAGTGCCAAGGTATAGTAGGAGGAGTGTTTGTGTGTCTGCTTTATCTTGCGTACCTTGCATATATGTATACTTGTATATAAGCTTTTACATACATATATGCATGTATTGTGTTTGTATATATTTATGAATAAAGCTAGTGGCTTATGTGGGTCCTTGCCCTTCTGCTGTTTGTTTATTTTCGTCTGACAGCCCAAAAAACTGCCAAAACAACACAAACAAACACACAAGCGCGCACACACACTCACACACATGAACAAGTTCTTTGTTCTAGCATTAATGCATAACTATGTGCTTGTGTGTGTATGTATGTGTGTGTGTGTGTGGCACAAAATGTTGCTACATTAACTAGATTTGCGGTTTTTGAGTCTCATACAGCGTTTATGCAGCCACGAAAGCAGAAAATCATTTCAGGATACTCGCCCACAAATTTAATTTATAATTATACACAAAATATTGAATTTAAAGTCTCGCCATTTGTGGATTTCTGCCACTCTTTAATAGTGTTTGTGCATCTACAGTTTTTAACAATTGCTAAAAAATATTGACCAACCAAAAATTATTTGATGTATTGTATAATTTGGTTAGTTTTTTTTTATTCCGGTAGGGCAAGGAATTTTATTTATTTTTTGTGATTTATGTTTTTGCAATTTCTTTCTGTTATTTTTATTTTTTCATACAAAATATTCCTTAAAAATTCGAAAAAAAAATTGTTGTTGTAATCTTCAAGTAGAAAATTGAATTCCATGTACACAGGCTCTTCTATGTTTGAAAAAACTTCAAACTAGAGATACGCAAAAGTAAAATATTTTTATTATTATATATCTTTTATTATTATTACTATTCTTTTCAAACTTGTCGCTCGGCGGATTTATTGAACAATACTGTACGATCTGGGATCCCTATTTTCACGATATTTTGGATCTGCAGCTGCCTAAGAGAGGAGTTGGTTGGTGAGGATTCTTTATAAGAACTCATCAAAAATATATATAACTGGTTATTAATAACTTTCTTGTTTTCATGATAATGAACTGTAACCTAGTAACGCCTCAAAAATATCAGAGCAAATCTAATAGAAAAGTAACACTTAAATTTTTTTTTTAATTTTTTGTAATTGAAATTTTAACTTCAACCTTAAATTTTATTTACAATATTGTGATAAAATAATAAAATAATAATAATGATTCGAATTTTCAAAGACACGTTTTATATTTTAGAGTATATATATAGATATACTATATATTTTTTTGCAACAAACAAAACAAACATTCACCAACATGCGTGGCCACCTCCTCACAAATTCAAGAATAGATCACGAGTTTATTGTGGGCATAAACTATGTATATATCAGTGTGCTGTGTGTGTTTTTTTCACCTTGTCTAAACCAAGGCTTAGCTAGGTCTCCATATCAAATTGCCTTGGACGATTCAATGCCCGCACAATGTAAACAAATCAAGTCAAATTCAATCTAGACACACAGACACACACACACCTACAACTACAATATGGATTTCAATAAACAAAATGAAGCGTATTTCACACCACACCATACCCTACCCTACCATGGCTAGTTTCGAACCGTTCTTTAGCAGCTCTTTGTATTTACTTGAGTTGCACGTTGCTGGCCAAAAGTTTGCGTCCAAGCGAATCCTATAATAGAGCTAAACATAAGATGATAATCAAAGTGAGTGCCTGCCATGGTGACAAGCAACCACAGCAGCGGCAAATTTATATCAAACGAAAGTCCAACTGAACGACATTAAAGCGAAATTGGCTAGACAATCACCCATAAAGAAATAAACAACAAAAAACAGAGAGAAAAAGTTGAGAATGCTTCGTCGTCAGCGTCAGCGTCGGCGTCGGCGTCGGCGTCGTCGTCGTCGTCGTGGCAACGTCGCGAACATAACCGCGGCCATGGGCGTTTGCGAAATAATTTCACTTTTAAGTATTTCCGGGGGCCAAGCCATTTAATTAAATGTTTACGTGCAATTTAACTTAGCCCCAAGACGACGTTATTAACATGCCATTGCTTCTCTCTCTCTCTCTCTCTCTCTATCTCCCTCTCTCGCTCATACACCATAGAAACTGGTTGATCACTTTGTTGGCCAACTAAGCGGACATCAAAGAACGACCAAATGAAGGCCAAAAGCATTTTGCAATTTATGTTTTTCACTTAATCTGATTTATTTTGTTTCTAATGTCAATTGCTAGCCTTCACGAAAATCCCAAATTAAACAAATATTCTCGTACTGCATAAGCAAATTAAGTTTTCTTTGGAATAGAAATGCCAACATCAACTCTAACTGAGATCTACAAATTCTTGCGAAAAATATTGCACAAAGTTATTAAAACACAAATCTGTAGTAGAAGGTGCTCCTTTCAATGTCATGGCCAGCAACCCATTCACTTAAATGGCAGTAAAATAAAAAGCTTTTGCATTCAAAAAGAGTAAACAATTCATTTTCAACATGTCTTACGCTCACAATATACAACTTTTATTGCCAACATTTGGAAAAATATATATTTATTTATTTACATGCGTACATAAAATATTTATTAATACCTTTTTGGCTTTAATTTGATATTTTTTCTTATGGAATGAAAACGTAATTTCCGATTTTTGGTTTTAATTAATAGACCTTTTTCAAATACATTTGCATTTAATTTAATAAGCTTCGTATTAAGTTTCTCAATCATCAATAAATTTGTTCAATCAACACTAATTTAGTTACTGAATATGCCGCCAGAAAAGTCCCAAACCTCCCAAAGAGCAAAGTTCTTGCAATTAAAGGGAAAATTAATCTAATTAACATATCATCTAAGCTTCAGTTTAGTTCTTTTCGAAACTTTTCGTTAACTTGAGGTAACCTCATGCCTAAATGTTTGTTTTACAACAACAGCTTCTTTTTCGTTTGTTGTAGAAGAGCGAACATAAATAATAATTTGCGTCATTGCAAAAGTAAAAAATCTTTTTTTGTGTTTAATAAATAGTCTTCTCAAAATTGTGATTTTAAGTTCATCTAGCGATATAAAAAAAAAGGAATAGAAATTTTAATTGTATCAGTTTCTTAAGTTATGTTTGATCGCAATAAAGCTTTTTACTTTTCATCCATATTTGTAATACAAGTACAACTTATGTTCAAGCTATATAAACGACCTATGAAGCTCTTGTAGTTTCGCAAATGGTGAACAAAACTAATACACTCCACTTACCCTTCGGCTACAGGGTATGAAAGGTACATAATCACGTCTGAGCTGCGAACATAAACGTCAATTCGCAGAATTTTTTATTGCATTCCATATAAGTACACGTAATTTATTTAATTTAGCTATAACAGAGAATTTCTGTTGAATCTCCATTATTTTGCGAAGCATTGACCGAACATTCTATGAAATCTCTCATTCAATGGCATGCGCTACTACTTATGAGTTTATTAGTATTTCCACCTTTAATTAATTCTCTAATTGGCTTAGTGTGCGAACAATGAAATGGAAACACTGACTGCCAGCGTCAGTAACAATGTGAAAATTCTGACAAAAAAAAAAAAAAAAAAAACAGCCCCAAGCCCTACATGCCACACAGCCAACTCACAAAGTTGATGCCTCATTAACAATTAACAAGAAAAGTACAGCCATAAAAACCAAACAGAGATGAAAGTACACAACGGAAAAATGGCTAAAAACTGACTATTAATTGAAGACAAATGTCTTAAAATATTGCCAAAGAAAGTGCCCCAGTGCGCATCGATATAGACATCTGTCCGTCTGTATGAACGTCGATAACTTTGCGCAACAAACTTGGTATAAAGAGTTGCCTAATCCATACGCCGACTAAGTTTATTACAAACTAAGTATTTAAGAATTTATTTATGTAGCGCAAACCACTCGGTATGGGTTAAGTTTTTGGTTAATCGATATCTTAAGGAAATAGAAAATGCCATAGAAACGATGAGTGCACAAATCAAGCGCAAAAACTTTTCTGTTTATATCGATATCGCAAAAAAAAAAAAAATGTTTTTTAAACTAACCCAAGAAATGGAAAAACAATTAGTAATAGCTGAAACAATTGTTCAACTTATTTCAGCAATTTGTCCACTAAGCTAAAATCGCTTAAAACGCTTTACAAAAGGATAAATATTAAATAAAAATAAAAAAGTCTAAATAATGAAATATCGTAAGGCAAGCCTTTCTTATGCCCCGAACACTCCATATTTTGCTAAATTTAGGTTTAAGTTTTTGGCACTACAATTTGTAGAGTTTGTATTGTAGTTTTTTTTTTCTTTTGAAAATCAATTGAAGTTGGCATTTAAGTCTGAACTGATTTGTTTACATTGTTTAGAGTAGCCGCAGTTTTACAACTCAACAAAATTCAAAGCGTTTTTTTATTTTCACCACCAAACTCAACAATTTTTGTCGCAGTAGTTGTCTCTGAGGCTCTAATGCCAGGACAACTGGCCGGGCACACAAGGCGCCGACGAATTCGACAGATTCAAGCGACGCTTCGTCATGTGCTGGAGGATATCCACACACAAGCTCAAACTGCTGGTCGTTGTACTGACGTTAATTGTGGCGGTAATCCAAACACTGTGACCATCAAAACCCACCTTATCCCCATTTCCCCAACACCTCACCTCACTGCCACTAAATGGGCAACTAACTTAACCGTCTATTGTACAGGTTGACGGTATGCTCAAGTTTTCGACAAATGCCACGTTATTGTTGTACTATCATAATACGCGATTTCTTACATTCCTAATTGGACGACTAGTGATTGGTCTGTTGCTCAGTGTTTGGGCATTTCATGGTTTTATAATGCTATTCTACGACAGTGTTCGGGGCGTAGCAATTGTGAGTATTTATGACGATATTAATGCTATTTACTGTTTAATGTTTTAATGTATTTGGCCAGTACTCGACGGGCATTTGCCTGATAACAGTTTGTGATTGTGTCTCACTGTACTATCGGTTCTCCATGAATCTATCCACAATGCCACGAGTGCTTGACGATGATCTAATGATGGCGCGCGCCAGATCAACAGAGATACACGTTCTAGAGGAGGGCATTGAGGATTTTCTGCTTGTCGCTCTGATTATCGTCCAGGTAAGTCTAATTAGAAGGCATTTAAATTGTTCAGGAGACAGAAAATGAAATACTGCTATAGCCTGTATTTCTGTCGAAAGCCAAGCAGAAACAATCGAAAATGCATAACTATGCAGACATTCTTTTGAGAAATCCAATTTGAAAATAAAATTTTGCAAATTCATTCCATGTATAGATAACATTTATAAAAAAAAAAGTGTCCAAGCCTTTTTCTTTTTAGAAATTATTATGAGAAATAAGCTCTTTTTAAATATCTGTACATTAAATTTTCTGTCCAATACACAGATAGTTGTCAGTATTGCTGGCTGGTGGCTAGCAATCCGTCTGCGCCACCATTATGAAGATGAGGAGAACTATAGACGAGATCAAATTAATTTGGAACAGTTGCGGGAAAGGTCAAAGGTGCATCATTAATGCGGCGCTTTTTCAAATCTGTGTGCAATGTGGGAGAGTTGAGTGTGCCAAAGAAATAAACCAAGAAACCGAAGTAGATACAAAAAGAAACTGTGAAACTAACCTGTGTCTTTTGATACTTTTGTCGTTGTCATTTGCTGTTGGGGCCTGTGGCGTCAATATTTTTGAACGAGCTGTCATTTTGGTTGGGAAACTATGCGATGAATGCAAGTTTGTTGGGGCCAATGGTACTTCAGTAACAGCTTCAGAGGCAGCTGTGACTGAAGGCCTTTTGCTTTGCACTTGGACGAGCGGTCAAGCGACCAATAAAGTTAGTAGCATCCTCCCTTCCACTTTCCACAAGAACAGTCTACTTACTGCACAACTTACAATGCAGCTGGCCATGACAACCACAGAGAGGCAGGCTGACTGGCATTTGTGTGCGGCAATTGGCAGTTGGTTGCAAAGAGATTGGCCACAACTATGCTTTTAGTTGTGCTAGCAAATAACCCATTGACACTCAAGCGAAGCATTTACTTGATTAGCTTTGTTTGCTTTAGGTCTTGTTTAGCTCATGTTTACTATTTGTTGTATTTGTTTACTTTTGTTTTTTTGTTCTCTCATCTGTGTGAATTGCGCGTGAATTGTGTGTCTGTGTGGCATGCAACAAGCGGGGTGTGATTGTGTGCGCGCTTGTTAGTGCAGCTTTCACTCTCGCTGGCTCTGCGTTGACCTTCAGCGGTCAATGTCATGGCGCAGTTGGCGTTGGCATTGCAATTTGACTGTTGGGACATGCTTCGGTAAATATTGCGAGTCAAAAGATGGAGAGCTGTGTCAATTTGTTTGCGGCTGGCAGCTGGCCAGGTGACTACAAATGATATATGTGTGTATGCGTGTGTGTGTGTGTGTGTTTGTGTGTGCGAGTGCATAAAATGGCGCATAAATTGTCGTTAAATTGTATTTGGTTAAGGTCCAAATTGTTATATTTACGCCGAATACAACTTGCGGGCAGCCCAAAAGTATGCAGTAAAATTTTATGCCACACTTAACCACAAGCCCCCCCCCCCCCCCCCCCCACACACACACATGCACATACTTGTATATACTTGTATATAAATTATTATGAACAAGTGCTATTGACTTGTCCGATTATCGCCATATTTATTTATTTCTTTCATTTTCGGGGACATCGCACTACAGTATAGTATAGATTGGTTTATAATCGTATCATAGATGGCCATTAAGTTCTTGATAATCGTGTTGAGGGAAATTACGATTTCGACTGCCATTGAGGTACATAAATCAATTTGAAAAGCTTGCCTTTAATTAATTTTCTTTATCTAAGATTTTCTTTTTTATTTATTTGGACAATTACTTGTCACCTAAAAGTACTACAATACATCTGTTAATAAAATATAGTACAAATTAAATTTAAAAAATACTATTAATGAATTAATTCTGAGTATTTTAGTATTATGAGGCTATGGTGATGATAATATGATTTTGCGTCGAACGGTAAATATTTATACAAACAAAAAAATTAGCTATGAAGTTTTGATCGATTGTGGTGTCAAGTCTGGATAAAATATAAAATCAGCAATTACTTTCGATAATTATAAAGACAATTTAGTTGCTGGTATAGTATCGTTAATTAATCGTATCGTTTAATTAATGTTTCAATGTTTCACTTGTTTTAAACATTCAATGTATTTTAGTAAGCAATGCAATATTTTAGGTAAAGCTAATAAATTAAAATTACTTATATTACCTTTAAAATAAAGATCTTCTGATAGGTCGCAGTTCTTACTTAATAGAAAATTTCCAGAAGCGCATATCTCTCAACAAAAGAGCAACAAAGCAGATTAAAATGAAGCTGTTCATCAAATTTGAAAGGCTTATATTCATCAACTATGGCAATATACAAGTAAACATATATAGAAGATTTCATGGTCGATTGAGTGCCCAACCTGCAGAATAATTGAACAATGCTATGAGATGTGAAAATTATTAAAAATTCACTTACACGCACTGTCATTTGCATAATTCGATTTCAAGCCAATTAACCTGGCGACAAAGTGCATGCAAAAAATATATACAAGTATATTTTCGACGGACAAAAACATTTCAAATTAAACTGACATTAATTTGAATATAATTGGATTATGCACAAATCATTTAAGCGCATGGCACTCGATTACTTAGATAAACACAAACATAACTAATATTTCAAAGTATCATATCCATCTTTAATAAATTGCACAAAGCGTTACTAAAACTTGAATTTAATTTACTTTAAGTTAAAGTGCATTTTTTGCCTGCAGCTGAATTGTAAGAGATTGCAGTTGTACTACAATTTATTCGCATTTATACAATGTCTGCAGAAATATCAAACGCCAGCCTAATTCAAATTTACAGCATCGAGCAGAATTTAATTCTCTTAATTAAAAATAAAAGCAATGCAAAGGCTACAGTATCGATGACAAAAGCTGCCAATAGTTCGAGAAATGATTAAAACGGTTACGAAATTCTCTGATGTTTCCGAACGTTTCCAATAAAAAACGCGAACACAAGCCAACAACTTTATAGCCTTTATGTACAGAGAAATGCAAGAGGATTTGTTGAAGGCTAAATATTTAAGCTGTAAGCAACAGAAATATTGTTGGCAGCAAACTATTCTTATTTTGCATTTCACGCCGCTAAAAAGAAGCCAAAGAGATGTAATTTATATTATCAAAAAAAAAAATTTCAGCAAAGCATAGACGTGTATTAATAACATTTTATGAAAGTATATTGCAATTATTATTAAATTTGAAGAACTTATATAGTTTTTAATGCTGCACAAATATGATTCATGGTCCCACTTAAATTTAAATGCGTTTTGTAAAAATGCCATCTGACATTATATCCTTGCGATATTTGTAGTGCAGTTTCAAAAATGTAATAGCAATAATACTCTCTTTTAATTATTGAAAATATATTTTTTTCTTTTCTAATTATTTCTTTCTATGTGAACTCGATCGAATGTGTTCATGTTTAAAATATAATGGAATCGTAGCTTAAAAACTAACTTTGAAAAATGCAATTTAAATAAAGTGTAGAAACGTTTCTTGTTTTTTATTTTGATGACATATTTGGTGGTGTATAGTATGTAAACATTAAATGTTCCTATTCTTCAATTCAAGGATTATTGAATATTTTTTTAAAGCATTTGCTTTTGAAAATAATTCAAAAGAACAAAATGAGCGCAGCTTTGAAATTGTAGGGAAATAGCAATTGGCTACTTTTTCTAGAATTATTGTGCAACAGCTGCTGCCGCTTCAATAAGCATATTTTTGACGTTGGCATTACCTAGAATTAATAATTTCAAGCAGGCGTCCTCCCACACACACACACACACACACACAATTTGCTTGTCCTTCACATGCATATAAATTACATTTGCCAGCGCCAATTACAAGCCAAGGCGCAAATGTGCAAACACCCATGACAGCTGACAGACGACCGACAACAGACGAGAAAGAGAGAAAGAGAGAGAGACGCACACCCACACACACACACACCCATACACATCCATTGAGCTGAGCTCGTGGGCGTTACAAAGCGTGTGTTGTGTTGGGTGGGAGTGTCTCGTGTTGACAAATGTAGAGCAAAAATTAAAAACACATTTTCAGCGCACCATTTTGGCGCATTAAAAATGCCATTACATGATTTCCGTTTCCGGTCACAGATTTTAACTGTCGTGCAGGATTTGGGTGCCATTATTGTTGTTCCACTTACAGAGACACAAAATAGACAACACTATATATAGTGAGTATGAAACAAGGCAGCAGACAGCAACAAAGAGGCTCACCCTTTACCATCAAAGATGCGTTTGTAACTCAATCTTTCGCCCTCTCCTCAATGTGCGTATCATGAATATGTATGTTTATGTTGATTATTACTGTTATGTGAGCATAGAAGCACCCACAATAAACACATAATTAGGCTGCCACAAGAGCGCGCACAATTGGCTGATAAGCAGCTTTTTTCAAATTGATAACAGGCTGTCAAATTTTTGCGCGCCAAATGTGAAAAAGCCGGCTATCACTCTCAGACATCCAAAGACACACACACTCATAAAAAAACAACAAAATGTGCACAGACACACAGATACAGACACACGCACACACGCACACACATACGCACACAATCATAATCAAAAAGTTTATATTACCACGCTTTTATTCATTTCATAAACACAAACAACATCATGAAAATATCAACATTTTTAATTACTTTTCATCCTTGTGCTCAGACTTGCTTACACTTTTATTGCCATTTCCGTGTGTGTGCGTGGGAGTAAGTCCGTCTGCATGTGTGCGTGTAAGTTAGGGAAAAATTTGTTGCACCGCGTTATTGTTGTTACAGGTTGATAGTGAAGCGATAGAAGCGCAAATGCAAACACAAACTTAAAATCGTGTGTAACGGTTAAGCGTCGCGCGCCGTAATAAGCGAAAAACTCTTTGCATGTCAACACGCGCCAAAATCTTGCCAGCGACTGACGACGACTACAACGAGGACTATGAGGACGACTTTCTGATGAACACGCACCCACACACACACACACACAAGTATAGGGAGCAGCCGCAGCAGCAGCGGCAACGCCGCAGCCGACGACGACGTCACGCGCGCGCCTTTCCTTTTCATTGAGAAAAAGTAGATGTTGGCGGGCAGGAGAGCTGAAGGACAGGCGGCAGGCAAGCCGCCGTGTAACAAAACAAAAATCAGATGGTCGTTCCTTCGCCAATTCGCTGAAGCTTGCAGCGAGCAGCTGCTTTAGCAGATGCTGTGCAAGCTGCATAAAGCTTAAAAGCTCTCCCATTCACCCGCCAAGCCCAATTCATTCCATTTGTGAGCTTGCGCCGGCGCGCAGGCTGCAAAGCTGAGCATAAGCCGGCACCTGTTGCGCCCCACCCAGCCAACAATTGCCTGCAATAGTCCTTTGAGCTTTAAAAAATACACAATTAAAAAAAAGGTATGTGCTCTTCTAATTTGAAATGCATAGCTCTATTAATACATTTAAGAGCTCTATGTCTGCCAAGCAAGCATGCCGAAATGTTTTGCTTCTGCTCGCTCCCGTCTCTCTTGACACAACGCTTCTTACTTTTTCTCTCTCGCTCTCTGGGGAGTGTGGCTGCAAAAGCTGTGAAAGCTTCTGGCACAACCCAGAAAACATTTTGACTGGTAGGTCCCGAACATTTTTTAATTACGAATTACAAATATTTACATTTTGAAAGTGTGTTCTTTGCGGTAAAGTGGAAATTGGCAAGGAAGCAGGGACACCTTTTTTTATATAAAACTTTTTTTATAGTGAGAATGGAAGATATTATAAAATTTCAAGCGATCGAAACAAGCAACGGTAACATCAAAAAACGTATTCTGAAAGACACCGCATTGCATCCATTTGAATAGTGATAAAAACCGGACTCTAAATAAAAACAATAGGTGCGTCAACTACTTATGTATTAGGAAGCGGAACCATTCAGTGGCAGCATGGGCACCACATTCCAGTATAAGCACCAGCAGCCATAATTGCCTTTAATGGTGATCAAAAGAGAAGAATGGCCCAAAAATTTTGCAATCTGGGAGATCATAGAAGATCAGCCTTAGCCAAAAGAGCAGAAATAACAAACCGACACCTTAAACTTGGGTTTTAGACCTTCCTAGAACAGGTGTGTTGACAAGCCCCTGGTAAACAAAGTTTTTAGCAACATCAAAAAAACCTAAATGTTCAGGTCAATGTGTTCTATTTTTGCTGCTTTCCGACAGGATCAATGGGAATATTGACGTATATGGAAAGTAAAAGGGCTCGATACAAGGCGGCGTCTCTCAGACAATTTATATTAAAACACTCTATATCTCCAAATAGCTAAACTCTGCGTCTGGGCTTCATACCAAATAATATGTACACTTTTTCCCCACTGTAGCATATCTGTCACACTGTCCTTTTTTGGACATTTTGCTTGAAAAAAAACTAAAGAAAAGGTAGAACAACCGATTTGGTATATCTTAAAAGAAATCAGAAAGTTATCGTTTTTTTCAATTGAAACCGAATATGAATGTGAAACTTGCACACATTTGAATTTTTGAAAAAGTAAAAAATTGCGCCAAATAAAGCTGCACAACACTAGATGGCGCCACCATGTCCATTTTTGCGTTCAACTTGAACTCTATGGCAGAAATTACGCATACGCCGGGCAGCACAGATTTAAAGGCAAATTACTACATATGTATGAACGATTCAAATATGTATGCACTCGTATATAGTATAACGCAATAAACAACAATATTTTATTGAAGTCGGGAGCAGCAACTCGACAATAGCCTTTTGATATTGTCACTCATGCGACCTCTTAAATATTCAAGAGACGTACAAACTTCACTCATTGTTCCAGTTGTTGCAGCACTTAGGTAAAGTTTCAATTTACGGTAAGCAGCAACTACAATAGTACAATGGTAACAGCAACAGCAACAACAACAATAGCTAAGTGCAATAATAGCAAACATAAAATTTGATAACAAAATACATACAACAAGTTGAAGCTCTTTACTTTTCCGTTGCCCATAACTGTATTGTGTATGTGTGCGTGTGCGAGTTGAGGATTGTTTTCGTTGCTCGAGTTTAATTAATATGCTAAGAACTAATTTCCTATCATTGAGCCATGGTTGTTAAGTTGGCAGGCACTACTTACACTGAAAGAAAATAGCTGCAAATCATTATTGGTTAACCGACAATCCGTTTATTTAATTACTTTGGTTTCTTTTTGCTTTTTTAAAACAAATAACATAATTTTGAATATCACCTTTACATTTAGAAAGCTCGGGTTTGTTGCGCATTTGGTGGCATTGGAAAGGAAGTAGCTACCAAATATTAAATTCGGATCTCTAATGTCAAGCTAGCGATAGCCAGAAACCGAACAGAATTGGCCAATAGAAAGACGGACAATGCCATACCAGACACATCAATAATGAGTCGCCGCAAGCTTAAGAGAGCTTGGTAGTTCCTCGAGTATCTGGTGTCTTTCTTGCATTCAGAAATGTTCTGGGTTAAGGACTGCGAATAGCGTTTGCTTTATTTTTTCTCCCGGTGTCAATACACACACACGCACACACTAATACAGACATAGACGTGGCATGTATTGTATGGCTCTTTGTTTTACTCTGCACTTTATTGCCTACAATCTACGCCCGGTCGACAAAGAGCCACTTCCGTTTGCCATAATTTTGGGCCTGTGTTTTGTTACCAACATGCCAACGTAGCCTTGTTAACATTGTTGTTGTTCATTGTTGCCGCTTAGATTGTTGTTGTTGCTGCTGCTAATGCTGTCATTTCATTTTGGGCCCACAAACAATTGCAGCTTCAATCAACTAAATGTTTGCTTTCGAGCATCAATCAAATAAATTTTTGCACTTAATATATTCTAGGACTCACCTCGATAGTGATGTGATGGCCGCGCCCACGGAAATTATCATCGGTGTTGCGTATATTTTTTGAATCAATTTGCACATTTGTCTGCATCTTGCCGCTTTTCCTATATACTTGTACACGTACGTGTACTCGTATTTGTGTATGAGACTATGTGATGCCTTGGCAGCCACAATTGTGTCTGCCTGCTGTGTCCTGTGGTTAATTCTTGTTGTTGTTGACCTTGTAGTTTTGTTGCCGTATTAGACGCTTTGCGGTTACACCGCTTAATGCCGTACTGTCGCTTAATGAAATGAAAGCGGCCGCAGCTGAAGCCTCTATCAGTGGCCTCCCACCCACTATTTCTACTGCAACTGCTGCTTTTACTGCTGCTTTACTGTTGCCTTACTGTTACTGTCACAGCTCCCGTTTTGCTTCTATTTTGTTGTCACAGCAGGCTGTTTCGTGTAAGCTGCTTTGGTTGCGTTTGGGCCCTTTGGGCGCTCTCCTTGGTGTGCCAGTTGCTGTAAAGGAATTTTCTTGTTATTCTTGTTGTTGTTGCTGCTATTAATATATTGTTGTAACAAGGTATGTCGAAGCCACAGCACACAATGGGGGCCAGGTTATAAATTTAAATTTGTGCGCCATTTACAAAGCAAAGAGTTAGTAATTCAAAAAAAACAAGAAAGGAATGCTAAAGTCGAGCAGGCTCAACTCTTAAATACCCTGTACCACCCCACAAAAAATTAATTAAATTAATTTTATTAAATTAATTAATTTAATTTATTTCATTAATTCATTTAATTTAATTAATTAACTAAATTAATTTAATTAATTAACTAAATTAATTTAATTAATTAACTAAATTAAATATAAAATATTCCATGCATGCATAGATACATTTACATCAGAATCGTGCCTTATGCGTGTTTGTGTACTTGTACATATGTATGTATGTGTGCATTGGGCCTGGTTATATGGCTATAACTTTCTTTCCGATCATTCTATCATAATGAAACTTGGTATATGGATATATAATTACTAACCTAATGTGACTATCAAATTTTAGTTCAAAATTCCAAGAATTACGGGAGTTATAGAAAATCAGTAATAGGGGGGGAGTGGGGGGGCGGATCAGAAAAAATTAACAAACTCGTCCTTTCTCGGTCTCAGGAGAATCTGTATACCAAGTTTGGTTATTCTAGCTCTTATACTTTCGGAGATCCTTGCGTTCATACAGACAGACGGACAGACAGACGGACAGACAGACGGACAGACAGACGGACAGACAGACGGACAGACAGACGGACAGACGGACAGACGGACATGGCTATATCGACTCGGCTTGTCATGCTGATCAAGAATATATATACTTTGTGGGGTCTACCAAGCCTCCTTCTGTGTGTTCCATGTGCACTCGCACAAAACTAATATACCCTTGTACCCTTTGGGTACAGGGTATAAAAATGTTTAATATTTTATAGTGCATTCATCTCATACTTTGAATTTATTAGGCTCAAGCGTCAATTAAGGTTTGAATTCGCAGGCCAAAATTCCAAAGCACCACCCATAAAAGGAAAGGGAGACATAAAATTGCACAAGCCAACTAAGTGGACTGCAATTTTATCGTTTAGCGCAGCTAGTGTGAGTTTTGCTGTTGTTGACAGCGAATAAATTAGTATTTTTTAATTACACTTCCTACACTACACTTGGAGAAAATGCAGTAATAAAAATGATGCCACTTTGCCAACAATTTAAATCTATTAACCACAATTGTTTCTTTAATACTTCAAATTAATACATTTTTATTGATCAGAGTAAGATGTTTGTGCTGAAATTTCGGAATATTCATAATTTTTGTGCACAATACTTTTGTTTATAAAAACAGTAAGTTAACTAAAATCTATATATTTTCCAATAAAATTAATAAACAATTTGAAAAGTAATTATCCTTCTAACCTTCCGCAATTTCCCCACTGCTTTCATACATTTCGTCGACAGTAGTAAAAGCAAAAGAGCCGCTGCTTACCCAAAACAAACCACCAAATAAAAATACAACACTGTCTATAAATCTTATGGAAACTTCCCAATAAATGCAAATAAAATAACCTTACTAAAAACGGCTTCGCCCAGAACACTCTAAAGAATATGGTAGAAATATTGTATTTAGACTTCAGTTGAATTGGGATTATTAGTTGATGTGGTCCGCGAGCATTTTAAAAGCCTTGTGCAGCTCTGACCAGCGTTAACTCAATTATCAATAAAGTGGACCATATCTTCCTTAGTTTATATTCATGAAATCTAGTAAGTATCTTACACATAATTTTGTGATGCGCACATTTGAAAGCCATGCTGTAAAAATATTATCCTATCTCGGACCCAGTCTTTAGCAAGCCTCCCACTCAAAACAAACTCCATTAAGCATTTGAAAGAATCGAATATATTGGAACTTTGTCATGTTAGGGTTAAGAACATCTTGAATGTATTAAAGAAACTCGAACTAATAAGACTCGCTGTTCTCGTTTGCTATGTGTATATAACCACATCTATAGAAATCTTCTTTATTTAATATATACCTACTGTTCTTCACAATCGGGCATAAACAACTAGTTTACTCTACGTCTAGCTAAGGGCCATCAAGCCAGAGCTTCAATACCTGTCTATAATGATTTTCCAACATTATTTAACATACACGTACATAAACTAATCGATTGAATAAATGTCGATTCAATACATCGTTGATATGCTTTCTCATTTTGTGGCTTTATAATAAATGCATAAATTAAGTCACAATAGATATAGTACGGAGACAACGCATCAATTTGTAAACGCTTAAAAGGCTTTTAATTATTAACAACATTTCCGAAACGATTACGACAGCTTAGCCCACAAAAAAATAAATAAACCTAATAACGTGCTTGCAATTACGATGGTAAAATAAATGTGGAGTCATGGGAAAATAGAAGCCTGAACAGTACAATTTTCATATTGTTTTTAATACTCCCCTTTCATTTTTCTGAGTGTACGCAATTAAGTAGGTGCCATTAGCGCATTCCTGAAACGCAGTCAAATTTTTTTGCGAAAAACATAGCAAAGGGAAATAAAAACCATAGCACAGAGAGCATTAATATTCGATTGCATAAAACATGTATTATTGCTTTTTTAATTAATTCGCACAAATATGTAAGCACTCTTAAGGGATTTCCTTTCCATAAGTATTGCAAATGCTAAGACGCCGAGCTATTTCGAAGGAAAAACTGAGTTGCGCTGACAAAAAATGTGTATATATGCTTATGTACATATGCTTAAAATAAGACACTTAGAGTTAGTAAGGCTTAAATTACCGTTACTTGATATTAAGTGCCTTTTTGTAAATGAGCACAGAATTATTTGACAAATAAATTTGCGAGAATTTGTTAAAGAGGGCTTAGGAACAACATTCTATTCAAATGTTTTTCAAATAATAATTTTAAATATTGCCGAAATGAGTTACTTTGAGAAAAGAATTTCTAAAAATTGTACTGCTAGTACAAGATACTAAATAATTGTGCTTAATGGAACTATCATAAAATTAAAAATTATAAAAAAAATTTATATTATAAAATCAGAATTAAGATGAATTTTAAAAGGATCCTATCAGAGCTTAGCAGCACATCTAAACAACGCAGCTAATTATATTAAACCATAATTTCTTGAAAGCGGCGCTTTATGCTTTGGGAGTTCACATTTTTTTGACTATATACTTGTAAGCTAGTTCTTAACGTTTGATCTGTGCGTTGATAACCAAACAGGCCCTTAACCACAAACTGTTTAATGTACTAAATACATATACTTATAATCAGATGCTCAAGCATTTTAGTTCCTTAAGACAGAGTTGCCTTGATTGAAATTGCTAAAAAGGAAAACGATTTCTGAAAGCAAAAGCTATCGGAACGGTAAGTATATACATTATGAAATTTAAATATTTAAAACTTTAAGCATTTTCTCAAGGAAATTTATTACTTTAATTTAAACTATTGCTTTATGAAATTATAAATGATGATAGCATGCGTAACGCTCTAAGTTTATGACAATAAGAGACAATTTCGCGCCCTCTCACACAAACACTCAAACTCACACTCACACATACATATAAACACATACATATACATATGTACATGCACACGCCAACATGAGCATAATATAAAAATTTATGAAATGCCTAGCATTTTACGTACGAGTATACGTATATGCGCAATATTTTTTGCCATGATTCATGCCCAGACGATGCGACTGAATGGCTTGGCCAGATGTGAGGTTGTATGGGCGCCACAGCCTGTCGCACATCATGCACCGTTAGACCAAACTGTGATTGGGGCCATGTGCCGTTTAGTGGGGTCAATGATGCGTAGCCTCGATAGCCTAACATGGGCCAAACATGAGCCGAACATGTGGGCCCAAGCAGACAAGATTTTCACATACGAGTACATCTAGATTTGGGAGGTTAACCTTTCCATGGCAACTCTTACTGTTGCACAACTAACAATAACAACAACAACAACAACAACATCTGCAATAGAAATTATATACCCCCGAAATTTTGGGACTTTGGAGATCATTTTACTTGCCATGGCAAATTAGGCCCCAAAGCTCAAATGCCAGCAGCGAAAAGCACGTAAATGATGTTAAGTGAAGGAGCAGCAAACAAAAGAAGAAGGCAAGAAAAACGCAAAATTATGTGAGAATTTGCCGACGCTTGTTGTATATTATGTGTGTGTGTGTGCGTGTGTGTGTGTGTGAAACGCACCATATCCTTTAACATTGAATGCTCCACGACGCACACTTTGATGTTTTGCGAAGAAAAACTCACACACAATACACAAGCACATGCATGCTTATACACTCAAGTTAATTTAAATATGTTCGCGAAATTTAATATTTATTTAAATAACAACAACAACAATACTCTGTCATAATCCTAAAACATGGCTCCAGAATTTCACAGAAAATTCATTTTTATACTCTGTATCCGAAGGGTCGAAACTTTTGAACTCATAGCTGTTCTTTATTTAAAGACTTCTTATCTTTTGGATATAAGTGATGGGTGATTAATGATTGCTGATTTTATTTGTTAAGTGCAATAAGTCGTAGCTGCGATTGGTAGATATGCCAAAGGAGCAAAGCACAACAACTGAGAAGGCAACGCATCCGCTCCACATGTTTCTTGGAGAACACTATACCAGGGCAAATAATAAAGCAATTTAAAGAGCATTTCAGGATATCACCTCTGCTTGTAGTTGCCACTGCGTCTGGAGAAGCCGAACCAATCACAAAACTATGCTTATTGATGAAATTGCTTTCCCCAATTGGGCTTTGGGGCGAAAAAGATTCTTTCTTGCTGATGGGCGATCGATTCAACACAGTATTCTACAACAAAATAGAAATTTTGTCGAGGCTTATGTCGAAATATATGAAATGGCAGCTCCCAGCTAGTTGCAACAACGCATATTTTTCAACAGAAATCTCGTGGCAATTCCGATGCAAG